TGTTTTGCAGACACATATTTATTTGAATAAAATACAAATAAGATGAGTCGGGAAAAAGGATTTGCTTGTAAGATAGTGCCACTTCTATGGGGGCAGAAAGTTGCAAAGTTGCAGGGACTGAAAAAACGAACGCCCATAAATGATTAATGGCCAAAGTTGCATTCGCATTTTGATGGCCCAAACACTTTTCATAATTTCCAGCGCTTGAAATTAGTCAGCTCTTTTTGGTCAGGATGGGGCATCCCCTCCCCCCTCTCAAATGCACATTAATGGCCATTTATAACAATTTTTGGCTGCCAGCTCGCCAAACATTCCAACAACTGCCATTGCAAATGAAGTGTAAGAAAGATAGGAGCCGTTTGGGGGAAAAAGAGGTTCGGTTCGGTCGACGGTGTGGCTTTGAACCGAATTAGAAAGCGGAATGAATGCAATGCTCCACTCAAGTTGCCAAGCAAGACCGACATGAGCCAATTTACATAACCCAGAACAACAAATAGTTACAAATTGAAAACTTTTGTCTGCCAAGATTGTAAGCGATTGTCTAGCGCCCCACATTCCCCTTTCCAATCCCGCCGAAGATCCCACTTCCACTGTCATTGCCATTCGCAGTGTCTCCAGTTGCCATTGTTATAATCAAAGTAGTAGCTGAGTAACAAGAAAAACAGCAACTGATGCTGACAGCGAGCGAATGGAATAAAGGAGATACGTACGCTGAGATACGCGGCGAAAGAGCAATGTGTACGCGATTGGATGATGGCAGCCAGAACGAAAAAGTATCGACAAGTTTGACGCTTTATGGCATTGTTTAGTGCCGCAGATTTCGCCAAAAAACGTTTTTCAACTTTCACACAATTGCGCCATTTGTGCCGCGTCTTCAGGGGGCAAGAGGGCCATAGAAATAGCTATAGATTTAGCCTTAGCCATGGATATGGCATGACTATGGCAGAAAGGGGGCGGAACAGTCGACACAAATCTGCTGACGGAAGCTTCGACTGCTCCGTAGTGCTTTTTATACGGAAAACGTGCAGAAAGTTTGAGTGCCAGCTTAGGAGCTGCTGGCAAAAAGTTATAAAACAGTAGATAATAAAATAATAAAATATATGTATTTGAATTGTAACCGACGCGTCCCATACACAGACACACAAAGACACACACACACACAGAAACACATCACACACAGACACACACGACACACATAAAGTTTTTCTTTCAGGCGATAAAATTACATGTCAAATTGATTGTAACCTGCTATTTGTGCGCATTATGGTGGCCATAATTAAACCCCCGATGGCTGGAGGGAAATCGCCACACGATGGCTGGTCAATCATGGGTTTATGTGATGGCTTCAACTTTCTACATTGCATGAGAATCGCAAACGAAATTGCCATCGAATCTGCTGGAAAATGAGATCCGGCGCCTGGCGGATGACCTCAGTTTGAATTTAAACAATGCGAACCGGATATGGGTAGCGGCCATATAGTATTACCATCGAAGAGTCTGGGGCTGCTATCTTGAGTTATGTCTGCACGGCAACCCCTCGCGAAAATATTATTTAAATATTACTTTTCACCAAAGCGCGCCAAATCCTATAAATCAACCGAAAGTCGACTTTCGGCTGAAAGAGATCTAGATAGAAAAGTTTCGCGAGGCGCAACTTTCGAGCGACGAACAACAAGGAAGACGCCTCAAATAATTTCGCAAGAATTGTGCAAACTTTAGAGGATTGCGATTTGTTTTCCCCCTTGAAAATGGGAAAGTGGCAAATGGAAAATGGAAAATTGAAAATGAGAACCAGGCTAAGGGGTAAAGTCACCTCGTTATTTCCCCCTGTACGATATCGGAATCCTTGGCAGTGTTGAGTGCTTGGCTAAGCCGAATCAATGTAATTTTTATGCTAATACAATCAATCGGTCTAATCGAATCAAACGTTTTGACAACCCAACGGCCTCAAATGGAGCGTTTTGGGGCTTGTCCCAGCTTTTCTCCTTTGTCTCTTGTCTCGTTTCGACGAATAAACTATCGCTGGGACAACAAGTACGCAATATGCATAAAACTTTATATGGCATTTAAATCGGTACAGGGCTTGGTTAACACCCCCTTCGCCACACCCCTTTCATGCAATCCCCGTGCCCAAACCCATATCCATACCCATATCCTATCCCATTTGGCTGCTTACTTCGTCTGTTAACTCAAGCGTCACAAATGCCGGAAATCGAATACAATTTGTAATTCTGATGAACAGTTGAGCAAAACTTAAGCATCGTCTGTCCCGCCTGCTGTTACTGTTGCTATTGTTATTGCTGTTGCTGTTGCTGTTGCTTTTGCTGTCGTATTGTTGCTCCCGTAACGCTTGCTACTCCTCCTATGACTATAGCCATGGCCATTGTTGATTCTGCTGGTGATTCTGATTCTTATTGTCCTGGCTTTCCTCTTCCTGCAACTACAATACTTTTAGCATATTTACATAGTCCGGCTTTCACCTTGCTTTCGCCCGACTTTCTTTATCCTCTGGCTCGTCCTGTTTTCTGTTTCTGTGCCTCTCGATTCGGCTTGGTTTCCATTTCGTTATCGAGTCCTCGGCAATCGCCATGTAATACCAAATTGGGCGACATCGTTATATGTTTTGTTTTTGCCTTCGCCCATGGAATCGGGAGTGTGGGGATGTGTCTACAGGTTCACTCATCAGTTGGCGCTCTGTTAAATTTCGCACACGTAGCAGCATAAAAATTGACACCGATAATTCGAGTCCGTGTGTGTGTGTGTGTGTGTATGTGTCTGTGTGTTTGTGTGCAGCGTAGTTAGCGGTACGTATAAGCGATATAAACACGCACACGCCCCGAAAACATACATCATGTCGGAAAATTTGTCGGTCGCCAGCGGGGAAAGGTGAGGAGCGGCGATGGAGAGGAAGGATGCAGAGTGGAGAGGAAGCTACAGGGGGGGCGGCGGGTTCTATATGTCGCGTCGCTGTTTACACAAACAAAGTTATCAATTTTACACACGACAGTCGCTTCGCTTCGCATCGCTTCGCATCGCCCCCGCCACATCGCATTCCCCCAGTACATTATTTCCCAGCGGAAGGGCTTCCCAAAGTGGTTGGGATAAGGGTAAGGTGAGAGCAGCGACTGCCAGCATTTCCATCAATTCCGTATGCAATCAATGTCCAAATCGAAGACGCAAAGCATTGAAGCCCCTCAGACATAACAAAAATACAGGCAAGCTTCCATGTTGCAAACGGCCATGAAACTAAATTCTGAAAAACATATATATTTACATTCATTTATTCAATAGAAGTTATAGTTATAGCTCAAAATATTTAAGAACTCAGCTAAATATGTTTCCTTGGAACTCCAACTAGAGCCAAAAATTCTTGTTTAAATTCTGGCAGCCTAGTTCAGCTTCAAGTTGTACTCAATTATTATTATAAGTTCTGAGCAATGTTATTTTAAAAATACCTATTATTTTAGTAAATCTCTGTTAGCGTTGTTTTGCACAAACTTTTGTGCTAAATTATAATAATATTTTTTTGTTTAGTAATTGAAAAAAAAAATCCATTTTAGTTTATGTGCTTTTGCTTTAAAGCATAAATAAATCTTTTAGATATTTTAATGCTTAAAGAGAGACATTTCCACGTTTTACGATGCCAGACAGACATCAATAAGTAAAAGCTTGTGGAGAAATGACTGTTCGCGAGAAAACGTTAACAACGTTTGGGGTCTTTTCATCCTTCCCACTTATGCCGAAAGTGTTCTTTCAAAGGTTTTTGGGGAAATATTGAATTTTAAAATATTTAAGCATACTTTTTGGGGCACCCTGCAGTAGATCAAAAGTAATCGTGGCTCAACCACACTATAAGCGCTTGAAATTTTGCAACAATTTCATGCTATTCCTCCTCCCCCATATAGTAAACATTTTTCATAATTCTGCACCCTCCCCGCCGACGACAGCCAGCAGTGAAGGCAGAATTCACTTAGGGATAAGAGAGATGGATGAGGGGCTGGAAAAATGTCGCCGTCGCCGCTTGTTAAACTTAAGGAATGTTTGGCTTGTTAGTGTAAAATAATATGAGCGACGTGGGAGGTACGCTGCTTGCTTAGGCGCCCGTTTGGTCTGTTGTCTATTTGATTTGCCAGGACATGCCATAAATGGGAGTTTGGCAAAAGGAAGACGAATAAAGAATTCCACTCAAATTGCATTTATTGGAGAAATATTTATAATAACTTGGAAATTCAATTTCCAAAGACAATATGCTAAACGGATTTCAGGGGGGAGTGCAGCCACCGAGGCGGCAAAGCACAGGACTTTCCGAGGTGAGGATGTCAGTGTGCGTGTGTCTCTGCCATCGTGTCGATGGCTTTTATGTATGCCTGCGTAGAGAGATATGTTAGAAAATTAAAATCGACCATATGTTGCCTCATCGATTTTGATAAGTCGCCCGCCAGCACAGCGACATCATGCGGAGCAGGAGCAGCAGCAGCAGCAACAGCACCCATGGCCGCTTCATATCCGTTTCCGTTTTGACACAATGGGCACACAATGGTGTACGAATGCGTGTGTGGGTGTGTGTCTGTCGCTGCCACTTTCAATTGCAAAAAGCTGACTGAAAAAAGACGCCTTGTCATGCATGAGTTCTCTGCCTTTTATTATTGATGTTGTTTTGTATTAATATTACTGGTTCCCCATTGTTGCTCCTTTGGACGATCTTGTCTGTGTCGTTGCGTGACACAAATCAAACGGAGCCCTGTTAAATATTTCATAAGCACATTCAGCCACGCACCTCCAATGAACTTTAAGGACCTGCAGGAGCAGCATAGGGCCTTAACCCTCCGACGCCCCAAGTGCCGCCTGGCGCTCACCATTCAATTTGGCTTCAATAAGTGTTGCCGCAACATGTTGCAGCTGCGCAGGCGCCTTGTGGCTCCTGCTGCTCCCGATGCTCCCGGTGATTTGCATATTGTTGGAGGACTCGGAGGAGCAGCTCCGTTCAGTTGTTTAGCGCGCCTCAAGCCACACACACGCAACGAGCGCTGAGAAACCGGAAACGTGGGAACTTGCTACCCGTTAACTGTGACCCGTGACTCGTGACCCGCGACTTCTGGGGAAACGTGACCCCTGGTGAAACGTGACTCGTGAGCCTGCTCGGCTGGCTTTCGTATCTGGCATCTCAATCGGAATTGGTATTGAAATCGCCTCATTGGAGTGACTGATTTCGAGTTGCGTGCTTCTGTGGCGGTTCGGAGATGCCAGTTCCTTGCGTCGCGTAAGGGCAGTTACGTAAGCCAAGGAGACCTGTCTCCGCGCAAAAGGACACAAACGCAACGCGCTCGAATGCGTTACGTTGCGCATGAGATGGCGGCACGCAGTTCGCGCTACATTTACTCCGACCACGGCCACCGAATCTAGTCCGCTCTTAGGAAAAGGTAGCAGTGTTTAACCAACCCTCGACCGTCCCAAGCCCCCCTCACCCCCCTCGTTTTCCCCTTTTCCTCCACGCCCCTGTCGAACATAATTAAGTGTATTATCGGAACGTGACCAGAGCGAAATTGCTGCCTGCGGGCTAGGCAAGAAGAAGCAATTGAATGGACAGCTTAGTGTGTAATGAAGAAATTACCAAAAGCTCAAATTCTACCAACCCAACCCATTCCATCGCATCCCCGGCCTTCCCTCATCCGCAAGGACATCTTTAGCTCGTTGTTGTCCTGTGGGCGTCATGGTGATTGAAAACTCGACCGCATTGCGGTCTTGTCATCAGTTTAAATGAATGTGCTGCGGCTTCCGGAGCTCCGATAAGAAGGAGTCCTGAGCCTAATCCCTTTCAGTTATTGTTTCTCCACAATTGTGTGGACTCGGGAGGGAGGCGTGGCTGGGGCCGAGTGTCCTTCATCTTCATCCTTTGTGTGTTGCCTTTACAGTCGAGTCAAGTCGACTCGAGTTGAATTGAGTCGAGTCGAGTTCCGCGATTGCCATCATTTATTTTAATTACTTTTCTGTTGTCGCTCTCCTCCTTTTTCATCCTGGCTGCAGTTATAAGTAATTCGAGAGCCCCACAAATTGCGCATGAAATGTTGGTGGAATACTTTATGGCGCTGCTCGTGATCATGGGATTAACCGCACCAGTCGACAAGCAGAGCCGGCGCAGCAGCCAATACTTCGGTGAGTACGGATTTAAATCTAATCAGACAACACTCAAAGGGTAAAGCCAAAGCCGCCAGGGGACTGGGCAATCGTGTCAGAAATGGTATTATAAATGAGAATAGCAAAGCCGAAGGTATTGACATTCGGAGTGGAGAATGGGGAGTGCGAAGCAATTAGATTGAGGGATATGGCAGGGATTACTCAGCGCCATTGATCTCAAAGTGGAAGTAGGCGATATCATTTTAATGCAGGAATAAAAGGACGCTCCATTTTTGGAAGGGAAAGGCTTGTTCCTTAATTTAATTTTATATATCGCGTGTTTTCAAAACTTAAAACAAAAGTTGCTTACAATTTTAAACCATTAACTGGCATTTTTGCTAAGGTCGTTAAGGTCTTGGCCTACGATAACATTTGTATAAATAAATACTTTGTAAATAAGCCAATTACAATTTGGGATTCAAATTGACAAATCTATATTATTGGTCTCAACTCAGAACAACAATCAACATTTTTAATATATAAAATTAAATGAACAATTTAGGAAATTTTATTTCTTTACCCCTTTCCATATTTCTATAAAAATAAATGGTTTTTATAAAAATAGGTGCAAAACTATGCAACAAATATAAAAAACTTTATATAGTCATTACATACTTGCTTAGTGTTTTTATTTTTGTTGTGCTTTAAGATTAATAAATTAATTTAATATATCTTTGACGACAAATTATTTATTATTGAATTTCCTTTTAAAAATTTTTTCATTTCCATGTGGAGGTATTTTGCCATGTAGCTGAATAGCCTTGTTGTTTATTTTGTTATGCACTCGTTTTAATTAAAAACTTTGGTACGTAGTTTATTCAATTAAACTGCCCAAACTTTTGATGCCATTTGGGCAAAAGTAAAATTGGTGTATATTTTGTGCCACACTCCCTTATGGGTAACTGATCTGCAAAAGGGATCCGAATTCGGTAATCTCCACTCCCAACTGTCCGGAATTGTTTATGATCCCATCTATTTCGCATCTCACAACCGCAGTGTGTGAGTTTGAATCGCGACCAGGAGCAGCTGCAATTGCTCATTTGTAATTTATGGCACCTGAACTCAGTTTAGGGTCCGCTTGGGGGACTGCAGCTCGCTTTTACAGAGAGTGGAGGGAGCAATGAGAAGTGGGGAGTGGGGAGTGGGCAGGGGGAGGTGTTAGCCATGGCCACTGATGCTACGGTTGCGGTTCGACCCGGCAATTTTCCAACTTACCACCCCGCACTTTGTATGTAAATACGCAACTTTTATTAAAAAATTTTATGTTGTTACATATTCTTTGCCAGCGTGTGTGTGTTGGTGTGGGTGTGGGAGAATGTGTTGGGCTGTGTGTGGGCGGGAGTTTTTTATATTGTGGCCAGCATAAAAAGCAATTTCGGCTGAAGTGGTTGTGATGGCCTGGCCAAAAACGAAAGCATCGCTATCGGCTGTGTGAGCAACAGTTTCAATTAAGTGTTTAACGTCATTTTATTGCTTGATATTTGATAGCTAAATTTGCCCAACCACAATCACACACGCACACACACAATGGATCCTGACCTATAAATCAATATGTGTTTATCCACTCCATATCCACATATCCACAATCGCAGTGCCAGTCCCATTCCAAGCACATCTGTATTTGTGTTTGTATTTGTTTAGGCACTCATGGATTATTAGCGCATTAGTTGGCTAATACATCGCCAGTTGGGTGGCGAAGCAGCAGAAACAGCACCACAGGCACCAGCACCAGCACCACCACCACCAGCACCACCCACATAAATCACTTGTCCGCCCATCGATGGATCATAAACGTGGGAATGGGTATGGGTCCGATGGGCTGCATGCTTAAGCTGGAGCATAAATTAAGCACGAATACTCGTTAATCAAATGAGTGCTGATTCCCAGCCAGCTGAGGCATCCACACCAGCGGATTGAGCCACCCCATTCGTCTGCCCGTCTGTCTGTTTGCCTGCATATCTATCTATCCATCTGTCTATCTGTCTGTCGGACTGTCTATTTATCTGACGCTTCCTGTGTCCATCCATCTGTCTGCCCCCCAGGCTCACGCCCTGGAATGCACTTGAATACGTTTAGATTGACGTTCAGATACAGCTGTTTGAATGAACTACCCCGGGGCTGTTTAATGGGATTCCTAGATTCTTGAAGTGGGACCCCTTTGGATATTCAGATATCTGTATCGATGCGAAAGGGTCTGGATTTAATTGAACCATTTTCGAAATGTTTTTGTCTTTAATAGTTGATTTGAAACTACGTAAACAAACATTGTTTCTTACAGAGTTTAAACAATGTTGTAATTGCATTTAGTTCTCCAAATAAATTATATTCCTTATTTCCAGGCATTGTTTTGAAAAACTAGAAAATAGTTAAGGAAATATCTAGTTGAAATTGTTGCTTAGATAGAAATGGATTTCAAATCGCTTTCTTGCCATAAATAAATTATGCATTTCTTATTTAAGACTATTTTAATTAAAGCACTTCAAAATTTTGTGTTGTTTATTTTGAACCCAAAGGTCATATGGCCGCCGCCGAGGATCTGTCCAATATGATACCAGATAATTACGATGGAATCAACCCACTATTCGACAACTCCACGGAGCGGGAGATCATCGCCGCCTTGGGCACCACCGCCCGCCTCCACTGTCAAGTGCGGCACCTGGGCGATCGGGCAGTGTCCTGGATAAGACAGCGGGACCTCCACATCCTCACCATCGGCATCATGACCTACACAAACGACCAGCGCTTTTTGGCGCGCCACATCGACAACTCCGACGAGTGGGTGCTCAAGATCGTTTCGGTGCAGCCAAGGGATGCGGGCATCTACGAGTGCCAGGTGTCCACGGAGCCCAAGATCAGCCTGGCCTACAAGCTGATTGTTGTGAGTGAGTGTTTTCCACTTATGAGGGGTGCTATAATATATGAGAAGAGAGAAACACCATACTATACACTGGCTATTGGTGGGTTTCCAGATTTTAGGGAACATTTCATAGATAATAATAAGAATTTCGCAAAGAAACAAAACTAAAGGATGAAACATAGTACATTTATAAATTTAATACTTAACAAGAAAGGAAGCAAGCTTCGGCAAGCAACAGTTCATATTATATTAAATATTGCATTAAATACTCTTGGAAACATTAAAATTGTGATTTACTTGCGAATATGTTTAAAAGCATTGAAGCTATGATGATATGCAGCTCAATTATTCGATAGTTCCTATGACAGCTATACGATGTCGTTTTTCGTTTTTAATAGACTATAGTCGTCCGATCCGGCTCGTTCCAACTGATGTACTACCTGCAATAGAAAGACAACTTTTAGGAATGTTTCATGCAAATAGCTTTAAAACTCAATGACTATTTTTTGATCGGTGTACAACAAGAACTACTTGCTTAACAAGCTCTAAAGTACAATTAAGTAAACTCTGCCAAGCAATGAAAATCCGATTAAAATTGATTTTCCCAATACAGGCTTTTTGGAGAGCCCTTTAATGACCCATCAAAATTATAGAATCGATTTCTGCCAAGAACACACTTCATTGCCCTCTTTGAGTCTCAATCGATTGGCGGCCTTGTAAGTCCATGTAGAAGTGGTTTACATCTCTGTTTAGACAGCACCCCGATGGCGCAAAGAGCTGGGATTACTTTGACAAATTAGTTTATCAAACACCCAACGACTTCACACAGCACACAGTGGGGATGGTACGGGGAAGGGGAAGGGGGAAGGGGTGGCACAGAGGACCCCCCAATGGCAACTTGTTGACACAACCATTAATCGAAATCGGCGCCGTTCTTTGACAGCCTCCAAGGCCCAGATCCTGGCCAACCGCGAGCTGTTCATCCAGAGTGGCAGCGACATCAATCTGACTTGCATCGCACCCCAGGCTCCAGGACCCTACACGCACATGCTGTGGCACAAGGACACGGAGCTGGTGAGCGACTCCTCGCGGGGCGGCATCCGCGTGGTGTCCGAACAGCAGATGAAGACCAGCAACCTGGTGATATCGCGGGTCCTGCACACGGACTCCGGCAACTACACCTGCTCAGCGGACAACTCGAGTGAGTCCTTTAAACTGCCCCCTGACTACTATGTGCAGGCCTTTTACTTATGTTGAACCCGAAAATGTAGCTTAAAACCAATTAAACCAAGACACTTTTAGTTTTTAGAATTCAAGTATAATTTCACTTTAAGCTTTAATATGCTTTAAGCATGCCACTAAATAGCTCTAATTAAATATTCATGTATGTACATTGCGCATATTTCAAACCATAAATAACGAAACACAGTTTAACTTATAAACAATGTACAAAAAACCTCAGTTATTGAAAATTAAATTAAGATACAAGTTTATAACATATCCATAAGTCATTAGTGTTATAAATAATTTGATTTAAAGAGAAAATCGAAGTAAAAACGTATAACATATTACTCGTTTGTTTTTAGATTTGCGTGATTGGCAAATAAATCAATGTCATTAACGAGAATTGTGTTATAATATCTTTAGACATTAGGCCTTTTTTTTTTATTTATGAAAACATTTAAATGCTACAAATTAAGGATATATAAGTTTTAAACCGTATATATGAGTTTCTATATTTAATGAGCTTTTTTTTATAATCATATTTTAAATATATTTGATGTTTACTTGTTGAAACTTAATTTGTGTTCTAAATCATGAATAATTTATTAAAATATTTTCAAAAGTGTTTTTGTTTTCCAACATGCAAATGGTATAATATTGTTTATACAATATTCCAACCTTTTTTATTACCTCTTCCAAACAGATTCTGACAGCGTCTTTGTGCATATCATTAAGAGTGAGCAGCACGCGGCCATGCAGCACGAACTGGGGTCGAGACTGGATCTGCCTCCGCTGCCCCTGCTGCTCCTGGCGGTCCTGCTGGTCGTCCTGCTGGCCCCCACCCCCTCCTCCACCACCCTCAACCCCCGTGCAACCCCCTAAGCCGAGCCAAAGTCGAGCGGCAACTTATGTTCGATGTCTGGAACTCCGGGAGCCACAGAGCCGGGTAAGTCGGTGATTTTTAATGCCGCCATCAGCTCAGGAGTCGTAGTCATCATCTCGTTACAGGCCACGCCCACGCCTTCGCTAACGCCCCGGAAAAATGGCTGGATGGAGGAGGTTAACGACGTCGATGTCGCGTTGTCTTGTAAATATGTAAATTGAGTTTTTGTTTATGTTTGTGTTTTGTGGCTCAGTCTCTAAGTATTTTTATACGTAATTAAGTAAATAGGTTGAGAGTGCATATGTGGCGCAATGTAGCAATTGAGCATAAAGCGTATTTGACAGATACATTCTGTGCACACGACCGCATACCTAGAGATACCAAAGTGAGCAATCGAATCGAATCGAATCCGTAACGAATGTAAATAAATGTTTAATCTTAATAATAGATGGGCGAGATCTAGATTAATTATGATGAATCGGCGGCTGCAATTTAATTTGCCCGCCCAATGATTGATGGCGATACGAATGTGTCCGCCACCCCTCGGCAATTTCGAATCCGGCTTTGACATCCTGGGACCCGGATTATGGTCCTTAATTGCCGGGGTGGGGCCAGGGTTCGGTGTTCGGATGGTAATTGAAAAACGATAAGGTCAGGTGGGGTCATCAGCAAGTGCTCAGAACCCTGCTCGCCTCAGGCATCGACACGCGGGAACATCAAAGGCGGGACACTTTCGATTTCGGGATGGAAGGAGGAGCTGACGAGGTGAGAGTGGTATGCCTGGAGCAGTGTAATTGAAATATTCGAGGCGTGCATAATTCACACTCCTCGACGGCAATTACAGCTTAAGCCCTCGGACAAAGTTTGGAACAATTACCTGCTGAATGCAGGGACTCGACTCGATGACAATTCCGGCTTCCAGTTTAAAAGGCGCCGTCGAGAAGGCACACAATGAGTAATTACTGGGTAAGGGGAGGGGAGGAGTGAGGAGTGAGGACTCGCTGGCAAGGAACATGCCGCATAACGCATCTCCTTATTGCCAAGTGTTTGCTGAATTTTGCATAAGGTGGTGGTAATTGAAATAAAAGACGCTTCCAGCCGCTAATGGGTCTGCACGCGAAGACTGCCAGCTCCTTATCCCATTTCCATTCCCATTCCCGCTCCCATCCCTTCGCCACCGCATAGTCCCCTTGAGTCCCAAAAAGGAAAGCCACCGCACCACAGCGAAAGTAGGCGAGCAGCATCCATCACAATCCGGCGAAAGGAGCGGGTTTTCAAAAGGGGGAAACACGGGGGCCGGGGCTGGTGCCGGTTACATTGGCGTAAGCATGTCCTGGCGCCCACTCCTTTTCCCCCCGGCATTTCGCAAATCTTTGGGGAATCCTACGCATCTGAAACACGCGCTGCGCTGCCTGACAGTCACAGAGTCCCTTTCCCCAACCCCAAAAACCCCTCGCATTCCGGAACATAACCCCTTGGAAGGACGCTTCTCGGGTTCAGCCCAATGAATTGCAAGAACAAGAGCCCAGGGTCCGGCTGGGTGGGGCATCCTTGGGCCGGTTGTGGTGTTGCTGCCGCTTCACCTTCACTCATAAATTGTACAACGAGAAATAAATCAAACCCAGCCTCGACTACGGGCGATGATGTTGCTGCTGCTGCTGCTGCTGCTGCTGCTGCTGCTGCTGCTGCTGCTGTTTCTGCTGCCTGAGACGCTGTCAGTAACAAATCATACTCAGGGCTGCAGCCCAGTAGGAGCCAAAGCCGGAGCCGTAGCCGGAGTCTCTGGCAAACGCCGTAGTCGTGGCCTTTGGCGCTGCCATTGCCTTAACCGGAGCCATGGCCCGTAGACTTGTTTACGGGCTTAATACGCTGCGTCGGGCAGCAACAACAACTACAGTTGAGGCCAGATGAAAGACCGCAGGTTTGTATTACGACTACCGGATACCCACCGCGTAGTTTAACTTCCTCAAGTCAAACTAGTTTCAAGATAGGCGTAATAAATTCTTTATCTCAAAGTTATGTATAACTCAGATAGTGGGTTAGACTGTAGCTTTATAAAAGTTATTTCATCAATTCAATATTTAAATAGTAAAAGTTCTTTCGAAAACGTCAATTTTTCTCATATTTTATAGACATTTTATTAAAACATATAAAAACGACTAAAAGCAAATTTTACAGGAGAGCCATGTTTTTGTTTACTAAAAGAAAAAATTGTTATATGTTTCTCTATGACTATTTTTAGAAGACTGAAGTGGATTGTTGCGTAGTAAAAATTTTATTTGGCCATTATAAAGATTTTTTCATATTTTATTATCGTTGTTACACAATGTTCACTAACGAAAGAACATGTATGAAAAAGCAGCCAGCCAGCCCCTTATTTTTCTTACTTCAATGTACTTAGGACAGGACTCTTAAACTATGTTAGGCAAAAAAAATTAGGCGCTTATAAAATAATTGTACGGCTTATATACATTAATAAATATTGAAAAAATTTTAAAATTTGGCTAGCTATCTGCTTTTTAAATATTAATTTAAGTAAATGTAAGTTAAGTAATTAAAAGCTTATCAAGTTAAAAAGCGTTTTAAACATGTTTACTAAAGACTTTAAATTCAATTTTTTTTAAGAAAATTGGAGCCAATTATTTCTCATCGGTACTGTCATGAGATTCGTTGTTATGTGATGAAACCGTATGCTACGTTCCTCATTAGGAGTTGCGTCGGTTTATATCGTCACAGCCCAATTGAGCTACAGAAAACAAACAATAAAAAGCGAAAATCAAAACTACCTTACCTTATGTTGCTAGGTAGCAAGTAGAAAAAGTGCGTATACGTCCTGTTGGCTCCTTGTCTGAGCTAGTGTGTGTCTGTAAGTGCGTCATCAAGACCAGAGACAGCAAAAGGGGGTAGGGAGAGGTAGGGAGGTGTAGAATCAACAGCAGCAGCAGATTCGGATCCAGAACCAGCGGCTGGCGGAAGTGCTGGCTGTGCGAACACGAAGACTACAACTACAACGACAACGACAACGACAACGACAACGACAACAGGGACAGCCGTACGAGAGAATCAGAGTGAGCGGGACAGCTTTGGGAGCGACAAGGGCAGAGTGTTAAGAAACTACGGGGCGTAGACGCGCCGGAAAACATTTAATTACTAATGAGTTTTACAATCTGCAGCTTGTGAAAAAAAAGGCTTTTTAAAAAATAAAAAAGGAACTAGGGATTTTCTATTTGCTAATTAGCACAATAACAGCAAAGCTCTAAGTTTGATTGATTGGTTGGGAGAGGAAACAGCAATCAATTATTTAGCCAGCATTTAGCAATTGATTATCAGGTATTTGGACCCGACAAGCCTCACTGGCCGGATGCGAAAGAGTGGGCTTTTCCGAGCCCATCCTTGAGGTCTTCATCCAACTGACATGCATAACTTATGACCAGAACACCAAGGACACTGGCAAGTTTGGCCAAGACAATGACAGCTTTCGACGGCATTTAAAAGGCCTTAGTCATCGTTAGTCTGGACTTGCCATCCGTCTCGATATAAACAGGAGGAAAAAGTTTATCTTCGATATTATTATTGGGGCATAACTCTGTCGGTCATAAATCAAATTAGAAGCCCGTTGACACTTGGAAACACATAAGAAATGTAAAAGATTCTATTAAATGTAGAACCGATGGATAGAGCCAGACACACACAAGCCAGAAACTAGAGCAAACAGCAAAGTAATTGAATTGTCAAATACCCTGCACCTTTCCCATAAGGCAAAGACATGCCCAACCCATATACCCCTTTCGAAGACAGTGCGAGGGTGTGTCAGGGGGCCTAAGAAAACATTTATCATGCGATTTAAGTTGGCCACGACTTTTGCACAAGAGAGATTTAAGTGATTTGCTGACTGGCTTTAAAATCAAAGTGCGGATAATGAATGGTCTGGTTGGGGCTTTTGGTCCTCGCTCTAGTGGCCTGACACTATTTGGTTTTACCAGCCAGAATGTTTGTTTTCGGCTCAATTTAAGTTCTGTGACCGTGCACAAAAGTGCAATGTGCAAAGTGCAAACTGGCAGGCATTTTGCAGCAATTGCCACAGAATGGCATCGAATCGCAGACCCTGGGCCTGTCACTCCTCGCATGCGACACGCGATTGTTGCCGCTAACTGCTTTTCAGGGCCCACAGTTCGCCGGAGTTTTGACTCGGAGGCGATGGTGTAGTTTAATCTGCAAACAAAATCGTTTGATCCATATCATCAAAGCGGATGGGCGGTGAGGGTCAGCTGAGGTGGAAACGGAGTGTAACTGACAAAGCGGAGGCAAAATGTAAATCCACGGAGCGATTGCCCCCCGGCAAGAGGTTAATTTCCCCCAGGAAGCGCCCCGGCTCAATGGCCTTAAAGCAGGAATAGCGCCGGCTAAGTAAACTCTCACATTAACACAAAGCCAATCCCAAGCCCATGCCCAAACCCAAATCCGAACCAAAAACCAAAAACCAGTTAGGTCGCCGTCTATTTGCGGCGGGCCAACAGACCATCAACATACCCGGTACTCATGCTTTGTTGAGTTTTCCATTTCCGGATTTTTCCGAACAGGGTTAATTAGAGCAGAGATGAATAAGCCAAAACAGAAAAGGCAAAGCCCAATATTTGGGAGAATTTGAAAAACGTTTTTTAAAGAGGCACTCGAAAATATATAGCTACTAGAGCACAATATTTAAATGCCAATGTTTGTATGAACGTTATTTAGTTCGTAACGAACATCGAAACTCTTACAAATTTAGCGTTTGTAAAAATTACAATTATTTTCAAATTATAAGCTTTATTTAAATATAATTTTATTTACAATTAACCTATTATTTACCTATTTTTTATCCGCTTTCACGTCCTTATGCTTAACAGTTTAAAAAACATTTTGAGCCTACTGTGCGGACAAGTAATCGGGCTTTAGTGTTCCATTACTAGACTCTAAAAATTGCTTGCCTAGTTTATAAATAATCATTTGAAGACATATTTTTCGTGCTCACGGGCCGTTTATGTGTGAAGCTCTCGACTTAAAAGGCTTTTTAGCCCGGCCCATTAGCAGTCTTATTTACGATGGCGAGTCTACCCCTAAGATCTACGCATACTGGGTACAAAAAGGCGAGTTTTGTGCGGGCCCACCTGCTTGGCAGGCCTCCAGTTGCAGCTTCTGCTCCGTGCGGCTGGCAAACCGAACAATGTGAAATTACCGCCCTGAAATATGGACACCCGCTGAGATTTTATAGCAGTCAACTTTGAATTATTAAATATGTATTTCCAGCCACGCCACAACCAGAGACTCAATCTCCAGCAGGAGCGGAAGTCGCGGAAGGAGCCGCAGGAGCAGAAAAGGCAAAACAGGCGAAGTGCCGACGTGCGTTAAGTTCAAATTTAAAGGGATTTTCAGGGATATTTAGTAGGGCATTTTTAAATAGGGAA